TGCTGCTGCTGCTGCTGCAGCAACGGGGCTGGACCTAGCAGCAGCGCCGCCGCGCATGCCACGGGAAGCAGCAGAAGCACCTTGTGTGTTAAACAGTTAAATTTTAAATGTAAATTGCAAAACAATTTAGACTTGTCTGCGTGTTGGTGTGGCTGCAGTCTGTTGCCTGGAGCGGCGCCGCAGCAGCAGCAAGCGCGCTGCAGCAGCTGCTGCTGCTGCTTGTGCTGCTGCGCCTGGTGCTGCTGCCGCAGCCGCTGTAGAGCCCCGGCTTACCTTCTGCGGCTGCTGCTGCAGCTCCCTGCTGCAGCTGCTGCAGAGCCACGGCTTGCCTTCTGCTGCTGCTGCTGCTGCAGCGCAGCAGCCGCGAGCCCAGGGGCCCCGGAAAGGCCCCTGCTGTCGAGACACCCCACGCCGCGCAGGCTTCTGCAGCTTTGCTGCTTTGCTGCTGATCAAACACTTTTAATAATTCAATTTGAAGCAGCAGAGGCCTCGGGGGCCCGAGGCAGGCGCAGGGGCAGCAAAGTCGTCTGCGCGGCTTCTCGCCGGCGCAGCAGCAGCAGCCACAGCTGCTGCTGCTGCTGCTGCTGCTGCTTCCGCATCAGCTGCGGTTCCTGACTTCAAACGGCAACGCTGACGCCCAAAATAGTAGCAGCAGCAGCAGCGGCAGACCCAGCAGCCGCAGAAGCGAGCTCAGCAGCAGCAGCAGCAGAAGCAGAGGCGACAGCAGCAGCAGCAGCAGCAGCAGCAGCAGCTGCTGCGTCTGATAACGGAACAGCAGCAGTTATGTGCGTGCAGCCAGGAGGGAGCGATGCCTGCTGCTGCTGCTGTCTTGAGGCCCCGAGCACTTCCTAGGCGCTGGCTGTCGCTTTTGCTGCTGCTCGTCGCCGCTAGGGTTTAGGGTTTAGGGTTTAGGGTTTAGGGTTTAGGGTTTCGGGATTAGGAGCTGCATCACGAACGCAGATGCAGCTAAAGACAATCGGGGAAATAGACGCGCACCCATCGGCTTTTGGCAGCAGCAGCAGCAGCAGCGGCAGTAGCAGCAGCAGCGGCAGCGGGAGCTGTAGCAGCAGCAGCCTCGGCGAGAGCAGCAGCAGCAGCAGCGGCGGAAGCAGCAGCAGCAGCAACAGCGGGAGCAGCAGCAGCAGCGCCTCCGGCAGACAAGCTGCCGCAGCAGCGTAGAATCGCTAGTGCTTCAGCAGCGCTCTCAGCAGCAGCACCGGCAGGGGCAACTGCAGCAGAGGCAGCAGCAGCAGCAGCAGCAGCAGCAACAGCAGCAGCAGCAGCAGCAACAGCAGCAGCAGCAGCAGCAGCAGCGCCGACGATGAGTGAATATCTGGATTTCTTTCGGGCGGAAGTTTTGGGGCGGAATGGAGTCGGTGGGGCCTCGACGAAGCAGCAGGTGAGGCAAAATAGGCAGCGACAGCAGCAGCAGCAGCAGCAGCAGCAGCAGCAGCAACAGCAGCAGCAGCAGCAGCAGCAGCGGGATGAAAGTACAGAGAGAGAACCAGAGACCTCAGAAGACACACAAAGATGGGCAGTGGCTGCAGCACGTATTGTCGCAGCCCTGCTGCTGCTGTTGCTGCTGCTACTGTTGCTGCTGCTGTTGCTGCTGCAGCCGCTGTTCGTGTTCTGCTGCTGCTGCTCTTGCATTTTGCCTTCGCTGCTGCTGCTTTGCTGCTGCTGTTGCTTCTGCGACTGCGGCTAGTGCTGCAGCAGCTGCTTCTCTCTGCTGCGGCTGCTGCTGCTGTTGCTGCTGCTGCTGCTGCTGCAGCAGACGGGCGTTTCGCTGGCTGCTGCTTTGCCGTGCTGCTGCAGCATGGCGCAGGTCTGCGTGCTGCTGCTGTCGCGCCCAATTGCGTAAAGTTCAATTTAAATAAATATAATTAAATTAAAATGATTTAAATTGATTTAAATTGATTTTAATTGGATTAGTTTTGCTGCTGCTGCTTAGGTGGAGGCCCTGGGCCGCGTGGGACTGCTGTGCGAAGTGCTGGGCTCCAGCAGCACGCGGCTGCTGCTGCTGCCGCTGCTGGCGGAGCTGCAGCAGCAAGTTGGCTGCTGCGACGAGCTGCTGTCGCTCTTTGCTGTGCAGTGGAGAGCAGCAGCAGACACAGCAGCAGCAGATGCAGCAGCAACTGAACAAGAGCTCAGGGATTCCCTTTGCTGCTGCGCCGACGCCCTCGCCCAGCTCGCAGCAGCAGAAGAGAAATGCGTCCGAAACGAGGTCTGCTGCTGCTGCTGCTGCTGCTGCTGCTGCTGGCCTTACTGCTGCTGCTGCTGGCCTTACTGCTGCTGCTGCTGGTTTTAGTGCTGCTGCTGCTGGTCGCGCTGGTGTTGGCGTTGCTAGTTTTGCTACTGCTGATCTTGCTGCTGCTGCTTTTGCTGCTGCCGATCTTGCTGCTGGTTTTGCTGCTGCTGATCTTGCTGCTGGCTTCGCTGCTGCTGCTGCTGCTGCTTCGAAGCGCTGCGGCTTGTCTGCCACACTCATCATCTAAGGAGCGGCGTTGCTGCTGAGGACACTGGGCCGAGAACAGCTAGGGTTTAGGGTTTAGGGTTTAGGGTTTAGGGTTTAGGGTTTAGGGTTTGGTGATGGGGGTTTGCAGGCGGTGACTTCACTTTTGTCTTTGTTGGATTTGCTGAGGACTCCGTCTCGAGAAATATTAGCGAGAGAAAAGTTGCTGCCGCTTGCTGTGTCTTTAGCAGCAAACGAGAGCTGCCTGTTTGGCCGCTGCGCTGCAGCGCGGCTGCTGCCGCGGCTGCTGCGCTTTGCTGCTGCTGCTGCTGCTGCTGCTGCTGCAGCGCCGCAGCCCGCGGATGGGCCGCTGGTCAAGCGGGAGGTGCAGCACGAGGGGCCGGCAGCAGCGGACAGCGCGCCCTCGCCGGCTGCTGCTGCTGCTTCTGCTGCTCCTGCTGCAGCAGCCGCTGCTGCCCCTGCTGCTGCTGCTGCTCCTGCTGCTGCTGCTGCTGCAACTGAAGACCCAGCCGGGCCCACCACAGCCAAACAAATTCTGCTGTAAGTCGCGCTAGAATGCTGCAGCGCCGGGGGGACTAGGCCCAGCCTTTGCTGCAGCAGGGTTTAGGATTTAGGGTTTAGGGTTTAGGGTTTAGGGTTTAGGGTTTGGGGTTTGCCTTGCTGCTGCTCAGGCTGTTCGAGGGCCTCTGTGCTGACGAGTCTTTGTTGGTTCGCCGCGAGGCGCTGCAGCAGCTGCCAGCTCTTGTGCACGGCGCGCGGGAAGCAGCAGCAGCAGCAGAAGAAGCAGCAGCAGCAGAAGCAGCAGCAGCAGCTGCGGCGCCTTCCGCCGCGGCGTCAGCTTCTGCCTCGGATTCTGCTGCAGCTGCTGCTGCTGCTGCTGCTGCTGCTGACGAGGTGGCAACGGCCGCGCTTCGCATCCTTCGAGAGGCCTTGGGAGAGACTTCTGTAGGTGTCCCAGTTTCTGCCCCTTCGCTGGCTCTGCTGCTGCTGCTGCTGCTGCTGCTGCTGCTGCTGCTGCTGCTGCTGCTGCTGCTGCTGCTGCTGCTGGTCGCGCCGTTGCGCAGATATAATTATCTATGGAATAGAAGTCCACGTATGTGCAAGATATGTAAATGCATCTAAATAAACAAAAGTTTAAATATAAACATGGATATAAATATATAAACAAACATAAATAAATATAAATAATATAAATATGAATATATAAATAAACAAATCTGTTAATAAATATTAATCTTTGTGTGAACTCTCTTCCCCATTGTTGTGCGGCTGTGCGGCTGCGGGGCCTCTGTGCGTTTGAGCTGCCTTTTGCTGCTGGGGGCTCTTTGCTGCTGCTGCAGCGCTTGCTGCTGCTGCTGCTGCTGCTGCAGGGTTTGCTGCTGCTGCTGCGGGCTGTTGTGTCGCAGGACTACGTGCGAGCTGCTGCAGCAGAGGCGGCGCTGTCTTTGGCAGCAGCTTGGCCTTCGCTGTTTGGGGCCTCAGGGTCCCCAGGTTCCGTCGCCAGCAGCAGCAGCAGCAGCAGCAGCAGCAGCGGCAGCAGCAGTGCGGCCGGCGGGTTGCCGCGGCCGCAGCAGCGCAGCAGCAGCCCGCGGGGGCCCCCAGCAGGCGCAGCAGAAGCAGCAGGGGGCCCCCAGCAGCAGGCAGAGCTGCTGCAGCTGGTGAGAGCAGCAGCAGGAGACCCCTCGTGGCGGGTGCGGGCTGTTGCTGCGCAGCAGCTTGCTGCAGTGGTGGCTAGCTGCCCCTGCTGCTTCCGGGAGCTGCATGCATCTTTTTGTTTGCTGCTGTCAGATCCTGCTGCAGTTGATGTGCGGCTGCCTGCTGTGGGGGCCCTCAGCAGCATTGCTGCAGCACTTCCTGCTGAGGAAGTGGACTTGCTGCTGGGGCCCCTGGTGGCGCAGCTGCTGCCTGCTGCTGCGGGGGGGCCCCACAAGCAGCAGCAGCAGCAGCAGCAGCAGCAGCAGCAGCAGCAGCAGCAGGCCCCCGGGCTCTCCCTCCTCGACCCTGCTGCAGCAACTGGCTCGGCCCCCTTCGCTCAAGCTGCTGCTGTTGATGCTGCTGTTAGTGCTGCTCTCACAGTTATGCAGCGAGCTTCCCCACAAGCAGCAAATGCCATTCTCAAGGAAGTGCTGCTCACGCTGCAGCAGGGAGACAACGCCGTCGCTCTCAGGTCAGCAGCAGCAGCAGCAGCAGCAGCAGCAGCAGCTGCAGCAGCAGCAGCAGCTGCAGCAGCAGCAGCAGCTGCAGCAGCAGCAGCAGCAGCTGCAGCAGCAGCAGCAGCAGCAGCTGCAGCAGCAGCTGCAGCAGCAGCTGCTGCTGCTGCAGCACAGGGGCGACGCAAGCAGCCGCGCTTCGCAGACGGGGCAGGCGCTTTGGGGGCAGCAGCAGATCTTTTGCTTCGAGTGTTGCTGCTGCTGCTGCTACGGTTGCTGCTGTTCTAACTGGCGGTTTGCTGCTGCTCTAGCTGCTTCGAGAAGCGGCTTGCTTTGAGTCGCGTAGCCGAAGCTGCACTCATTTCGGGGGTCAAGCT